TCTCTCTCTCTCTCTCTCTCTTTCTCTTTCTCTTTCGCAACACAAGCTCTCCATACCAAGACGCAATATTGTTGGCAAAAATCGAGGTTGCACAGCCCCGATGCTTGTCATTATTCCCAATCAAGCATCCCACAGAGACCTGGTGCAGAGCTTATCTTGACCTCCTCGCCCGCGCCAGGGATTCTATTTATATATATATATGTGTTGTTGTTTTTCTTATGTCTCCGTAATTTATACCTTGGAAATCCTTCATCCGTGATAATTAGGGGGCAGCATCCCGGGTAGCAGGACCCAGCGAAAGCTGGGTTTGTTTGTTCTGTTCTTCGGGTCACCCAAACATCATCCCATATACATCAGATACCATCCCTGGCTCTCTTGAAAGGATTCACTTGCTCACGTCTGACTGGATGTCTGTATTATCAATACAGTTAATACCTTGTCGCGAGATAGATACACTTCCCATTTCCCACCTCGTGAATTATCGATTTGTGTGAGGTATCATCAAAGACTAGACACTATACTATCACCCGCTCTCCATCTCTGGCAATAGAGCAATAGACTCAGAGCATTGATTGTCGACTTCCACATATGATAACCTTCCTACTTTTGAGTCCGCGCACCGCAATTTGCGGTTGAGTCTCTTCACCACCGCAATCCACAAACCCCGCGCCGACTCAACGGATCTTCCCATGCCATGCCAACTCATCACCCGCCTACATTAATCCAAGCCCCAATCCACCCTCCAGAACCAATAACATTGTTTTCACACACAGAATCAGAGCGAATGAAGTGGCGTCTGGTAAATCTAGTCGCTCGGAAACTCGGAGCTAGAAACCAGGAATCGGAACTCCGAAAACCTTTCCGAGATATTCTAAGAACATGGTTCCTATTCCAGAAATCGTTCAATGACTTCTCTGAGAGGTTTTTTTTTTCTGAGAGAATAAAGCTCCTAGATTTGATTCTCCAACAGCTCGGCTGAAAATTCTACATATTTTCGTTGATTGCTTAATTTGATATTTCATGCCGAAGAATCTTTTTCATTTTCTACTTAAGCATAAACTATAATGAAATTCAAAGCTCTGAACATATCACAGCTCTAACAAGTTTTAGATAAATTTCACGATAGAACTAAACTTTGTAAATTAGGGGAAAAGAAAGGGCTCAGGAGCTTGAAATCATAAGATGTTCAAGAAACAAGGACTGCTCTTTTCTGAGTCCTAGTTCCAAGGTTCGATTCCTAATTCCGAGTTTCCAAGCCGATTCTCATTTCCTGGAAAATAAAAAAATCTCATACCAAACGCCGATGATCTGAATTAAGAAAGGAAAATGGCTCGGACACCAGCGCTCGTTTTACTAAGACGGGAACTTGTACACGCGCAGAATCGCATCGAATCAAAAGCAAGATGCCGATTCAATGGCCATTTGGTTAAGCACCCGGCCGCGACTCTTATCCGGGCTTTGCAGGACTACAAACCTTGCTTGTTCTTTGGACGTGGAGAATATCGAAACTGGATATTTTGCTTTCATACGATACTAGATTCTTCCAGCTTCGGACAGCATGTCGTGCGAGCACGTATATAGATGAACAAGCTAAATTGAGGAAGGTTAGAAAAGCACCATAGATCAGAGTTCGTATCTGTTTTCAGAAAAACTGCCGATGCATTGCCAGGTGGTGAGTCAATGGGCGTTGCTGTTGACTCTTGAAGCGAGGGAGGCGTTCCACGTACCATGCGCCACTTTCAACGTTTGCATTTTGCATTTTGCATTTTCACTTTCATTTTCAGCCAGCCTGTCAGGATGATGTTGATAATGATGGAGTTTGATCGGATTCTTTCGCTGGCTGCACGGTAATATGGCTGAAGACTGGAGGAAGGAAGGAAAGGGGAGCAAGAAGACCGTGCTGCTAGACGGGGACAACTAGTATCTGAGCTTCAAGAGGCTGGGTCCCTGGCCGCGTGTGCGCTTGGTTTGAAAGGAGGAGCATGTTGACGCACCGGCCTCGCAAGCGACAAGGTGAGTTTGCTCTACCCAGGTGCGCTGACTCTCCGGCATCATACAACATGAGTGAGTGTCGAGTCGTGGGCCGGGCTATCGCTACGTCTGCTCGATTGAGTCGTCGCTGGTTTAGAGAATCTTGGATCTCCATAACTGTTGGAATAGATTGGGCTTACCAATCCGTATTCCGATCCTGGGATTACGGAGCCTCTTGGCTGGCTACTCCTACAGTATGTAATAGCTTTCAGCTCTCTCTCAACTAGAATCTACGCCTTCCGAGTTCTTGATTCTAAGTATCACTTAATTGGTTTAAGCGAAAGCTGCTATGAAACAACATCAACAACAACAAAAAAAAAAAAGGGGGGGGGGGGGGGGGGGGAGGAGGAAGGGAAAGAAAGGGAGAAAAAATCTCATCTCTCCCCTCGTTCAATACCGCTCAAGCTCATTATAGATAGCGTCCTCCTTAGAAAAAACCTAACAAAGACTTCCACTAAACGACTCCTAGATACAAACCTTTTTCTCTAAAAGTACTACCGCTCAACAATCCTGCGTCTTTCAAATAATACCCAGACCGTCTATCATAATCTCATCCGAGGGAACTTATTACGTTCTGTATTTACTTTCAACCGAGAAAAGAACGTTCAGGCTCAAGCTGGAGAGCTATAATAGCTGACACTCACGGCGTGGGAAAAGGACATCTTCACTGATCATTGATCAAAGATTCCATGCTCCGCAGAGAGATAGATACATATCCGCAAATAAATCCAAGCTCGCCCGAAAGCAAAGAGAAGTCTCGCGTTACGAAATCTTAGTAATCAGATTCTCTCGCTTGAAAGTTGAGGGCAGCCGAGAGAGAAGCAAAATCGAGTCGATCGAGTAGGTCTATCTAGTATATGGACTTGAAGAACTAGGTCAAGTCGCTTTACTTGCTATGTATGTATATACACAGCTTCCCTTCATCGCGTGTTTGAATCCTAGATTGATGAGGATGTTGGTCGTCAAAGGTAACTCCCTGCGTGGTTTTTAAGTATTGTACTTCGGCCTTCGTGGCACCAGCGTTGAAGCGAGCATTACAGTTTGCACATTCGTTGAATTGGAAAGGACTACAAATTGGGCGTTGAATACTTAAAAGACAGGGAGGTCAGAACCACCAAAGGGAGCATGAAAACATTGGTTGCGCCAGTTTGTGTAGCCCGAGTCTCTGCCGACGGGTGAGAGACCCTGGGATCGATCCTTTTCGCCCGGGCTTAATGCTAATTGATCCATCGCACTTTGGCCAGACGCAAATGGAAAGATGGCTCTCATGATTCATTCAAGATCGATGGTATTCGTAGCGTAGATTAATGTTTCTCCCATGGCCCAGCGTCCCTAAAAGTTTCAAAGCCCCAATTGCCCATACTCCCATGTGTGTACACGTATGTCTAGCCTCGTCTGTCCACCACCACAAATAACGAAAGGGCCATCATGTGCCGCCATGCCTTTCGTTCGAAATGAAGTTACAGCGTTTTCGAATTCCCGCTTCACCATCCAGGTCCGCTTCCCTCCCATATCCCCCCCCATCCGGGATTCCGTACCCAGGTTTGAAAGCCCGTTCAACCCGTCCTCGATCCCCTTCGTCTACCCGCTCCCGGCAAGGCTACAGTCATCGTCGCCCCGACTCTCGCTGGCTGCCCGGGCGTGTTGTTGCGTGTTCCGCCGTGCCCGTGTAGAGGGCCCCCCGCGATCTGCGGATGCCTTGGATGATCTCGGTGAGGTGTTCCTGACGATGGGGCCGTACCGGCGACGACGCTCGATGGAGGGAGAGGACATTGCAGAGCCCATGGTGGCTGACGTGTGGCTGCTGGCTGGCTGGCTGGGTGGGTGGGTCGGGCTGTGCAAGTTCCACAGCGGGAGAGATAGACAGCGATGTGTTGATAAAGATGAGAAGATGAGAAGATGAGAAGATGGGTAGATGGGTAGATGGATAGATGGGTAGATGGGCAGGTAGGATGTTTGCGGAGTTGGGTGTCCCGGAGAAAAAGAAGGGAGAGGCAAAGATGAGGTATGTCGTTTGTAAGTAGGAAAAGTAGGGAGGAAGGGCAGTCAAATTTGTGCCCCTCACTTGGGCACTTGGGCACTTGGGGCATTAAACTTCATGCATATGCATCCTTTCGTATCCGTTCCGTACCGTACGGAGCCCAGCATCCCCACTGCAGCTCCATTCAACCCAGAACCCGGCAGTCGTCGTAATCCATCTCGGCACTCGAGCTACTACGGTACTACGGATGACCCAAGGACAAGAAAACAAAAGCAAACAAACAAAGAAAAATCTTTTAAACGAAAATCTCGATGATCATTCACACCGCTACCGATCCATCGAGTAGTCACAAGCTACACTACCGGTATACTATATACATATACTCTATACATACTTCCATTTAATCTGTACATATACTCTCTACATACAAGTATACTCTGTACATATACTCTATACATACCAGTATACTCTTTACATATACTCTATACATATACTATATACATATACTACCACGGTACAGGCCTAAGTATTACCCCTCGAGGGTAGGGTAACCAGGCGGTTGTTGTTGGAAACTAAACTTTTGAGGCACCCTCGAGGGGTAATACTTAGGCCTGTACCGTGGCATATACTCTATGCATATACTATATAAATATACTCTAACATAAGGTATACTATATACATATACTCTATACATATACTCTAACACATACTCTCTATATATACTCTATACGTATACTCTAACATATACTCTAACATATACTATATACATATACTCTATACATATACTCTAACACATATCCTATACATATACTATATACATATACTCTATACTTATACTATATACATATACTCAGGAGCTGATGCATTCAAAAAATCTGCTCAGGCCCGCCCGTGCTGCTATCCGGTCACCCGTAGGATGCCGAGACCGACAAGGCTTAAATTCCAAGTCCGTTCGATACAGAAGCAAGCAGCATCTCGATTTGTTTCTAGAAGGCATGCGTAAGTCGATAAAAATAGGGAAACGAATACCGTACAGTATTGAGACATGCAGCGATCGACAGAGTACAACGAGAAAGAGAAAATATGCTCGGCGTGACTCGACTCGACTCGGCTATCTCAACCGTATGCAGTGGTAGCAGCAGAACAAAGGCCATGTGAACAGTACAGTAAGTAAGCTGCCCTTTTTCTGGACCGGTCTTCTTCTACTACTATCGCCATCTAGCTGTACGTGCAGTTACATATCACCAAGCCGGATCCGAGACGTGGAGGTCGTCGACGTGGCGGTTTGAGGCATGATTAATTAATGCCGTAATTCAGTAATACTGTATATCCGAGTCCCGACTATCCTGGTCCGCACAGGCGTATCTATACTTTATACGAAGTAAGGAGATCCTACTTAAGGCAACTGGAGATAACATCAGGAGAGGCTACGTCATGTTTCCATTTCTAAAGCATGACTTGTACTCCTTCCTTAACCTGCAGGAAATTCGTAAGTACTGGGAAAACTTTATACGGAGGACGGAAAAGATAGGAGGTGATAGGAATAGATATTAAGCGAGATCTATATTAAGATCATGTTTATTCATTCAGTCACCTCAACTTCAACCTTAACTTTAACCTCCACCCCAATCTTCGAACTCCGACGATTGCCAACACCTGTTACGCAAAGCAGATACAATGAATGAAATTAATCATACTTACTTCTTACTCACTACTTGCTCAGAATCTGCTACTCTTACAAGGCAAACATGATTGCGGCTGGGGGGGCCGGTTTCCAGTGAAGACTTCGCTAGCCACGCGTTCGCGACGACATAACATTGGCATAGAATTCTGTACATCTCCACTCTTCTGATGGTTAGGTATGATTTGAGAAGAGAGTCAGTAGTGATAGTCTACCGATAATCTTTGCGCGCTGCTGCGGTGTGTTTATCTATCGAATCATTCGCGTTCCCTTTTTCTGATTCGCCCATTGCTCCTATACGCGAGCAACACTCTTCAATAACTTCGACTCTCTCTTTCGTTTTGCCTTTTTCTTTTCCTGATAAGAATCTTCGATGACCCTGAAAGACAACGAAAGATGGGTGGATTCATTACAATTATTAAGGTGGATTACCGATTACCTGTTTATGGACTGCGATGCACATGGACGAGCCTCTCTGCTGTTTGTTTTATGAATTTGGATTGTTGACTCGCTGCTGGAGGAACTATGCCGTCCTTGGGAGAATAGGTTACACCACAATACCGTCTTCCCGACAATACGCCGCTGTAGTCGAGGCCATATAGCTGCCCACCTGACTGGCCGCTTCGAGATCAAATGAATCCCTCTGGCAGCAGCACCTACCGACCGACCAACCGACCG